AGCCCTTTGGGTAATCGAACTCGTTAGTAAAGGAGGAGGCTATGATAGGGCCTTGCGTGGTACTATGATTCTAAACGCAACGCATTTTATATTTAAGAAAAGGAACACTTACTGGGTTGGCTAGAATGCCTCCGAAGCTGGCGGTATCGTACCCGAAGAGAACATCTCCCACCAGGAGGCAGAAGCAAGAGAAGAGTAGCATCGGGGTAACGCTAGCCCAAGTAGAGCGGGATTTCTCCCCCATGGACGCCGTCATCGTTGTCTGAAGCGGTCGAGAATACTGTCAAAATCTAAAGGTGGAAAAGGAGAAGGAGGGATTGGGCGAACTAGAATGTCGAGATGGTAAGGGGGAGGGCTGGTATTCGAGGGGATGCTGGCCTGTTATAAGAATTCGAGAACAGGTAGTGAATTGTCCGGGTGTGTTCATCAAGGAGGCTTCTAAGTTTGCTCTCCAGGACCCCATTATCTGGGGAAACATGGGGGAGGAAGACATTGGAGAGTTTCCCCAGCAAAAGCCAAAACTCAGGCTGGTATGATTGATTGTGAAGTTCTGATTCCCGACATTGTGGGTCGAGCTAGAGAAAGATTTCCGAGCGAGGCCCCGCCTCCTTTCTCAACCTGACACAGTCACCAATAGAGATGGGCCTTATTCCGAGCGAGGTACAATACCATGCACCTCAAGCTCCGAGCGAGATAACACTCCGTAGACCCTCAAAGTCTCGAGCTACCCTTGTTGCAGGACGTACTCTTCGTCATATGTTACATTGACGTTCCTTATCGTGAAGCTATTTCGCGAGAGTGTGTTTGACCATTGTAATCCTCCCCCATTAATTTTTTCTATCTCTTTCGCACATCATGGCCATCACGAGTAGTAAACCGGAGTCGGTGCCGAAGCGCCCTAACATTCTCTTCATTCTTGCAGATGACCTGGTAAGTTCTCCTCCGAGCATTGCTGAAAGACAGCAATCCAGGATCTTGAATGCTAATACGCAGACCTTGAACTAGGGATTTTCAGACATTGGATGCCATGGCTCAGAGATCCAAACGCCCAACATTGACCGGTTGGCAAGTGAGGGCATTCGCATGCTCAATCACCACGCCGCTGCCGCTTGCTCCCCCACACGCGCTATGCTCCTCAGCGGCACTGACGCTCATCTAGGGGGCCTAGGGGTCCTCATAGAGTATAAAAACAACGAGAAGGGTGCAAAACGGTGGTCGGGCAAGGCTGGATACGAGGGGTATCTGAACGATGAAGTGGCTGCTATTCCGGAGATCCTCCAAGACAATGGGTATTTTACTCTCATGTCTGGAAAGGTGAGTATTGTTGCACATTGCATTTCATTTCAATGAAGGCTGAACAGGAATCTAGTGGCATCTTGGTATGCGTGCTTCTCAGGGGCCATGGAATCGCGGCTTCGAGAAGGCATTTGCCATGCTGCCGGGCTGCTGCAATCACTACGGCTGGGAACCTGTACAGGAGAGATTTCCCGTTGGGGGTCGACCTATACACGCTGAGAAGGGTTTGAAAGTTGACATGTATTTGCCGACGAAGCTCTATTGAGGCTAAGAGAATCTTTGCTAACGCTAAAGCTGACTAGCCCGCCGAATAAGACGGAGGATCCCGAGGGTTTCTATTCGACCGACTCCTATACCAACCGGCTCCTTAAGTATTTCCAAGGCCGAACAGAAGAAGACAAGGAAAAGCCCTTCTTTGCCTTTTTGCCGTATACTGCCCCCCACTGGCCTTTGCAATGTTCGAAGGAACAGCGTGACAAGTAAGATTGAATCCATTCTCGATCGGGCTAATTCTTACGATTTTCCGGTGGACAGGTATAAAGGAGTATATGATGACGGCCCTCTGGCACTCCGGGAGCGTCGGCTACAAAAGCTTGCCGATCTTGGCATCATTGACAAAGATGTTGTACCACACAAGGTCGAGACATCGACCATGGGAGTCGGGGGGGGGGACGAGCTCACCCCAGAAGAGAAGAAGCTCTCGAGCCGAGCTATGGAGGCTTATGCTGGGATGGTAGACTCCATCGACGCCAACGTGGGTCGAGTGGTTGACTATCTGAAGAAGACTGGGGAGTACGACAATACATTCATCGTCTTTATGAGCGATAATGGGGCCGAGGGAGCTGCGTGAGTGACATGTACTTCCCTGTAACACCTGCTTTCCAATCAGAGTCTTGGCTAATCATTCTCTTCTCGCCGTTCTAGTCTGGAAGCTATTCGTGAGCACATTCTCTTTCCCTTCATGTTCTAATGCTAACCGCTTTCTAGCTGTAATGGGAGAGAATATCAAGCAGGCCATTCACCAATACTATGATAACTCGCTTGAGAACATCGGATCGTGGAATTCTTACACGTGGTACTTTATAGAATACCTCGCTACCTTCTAAATCCCTGCTAACTGAAGTCTCAATCAGGCTCGGCCCCCTTTGGGCCCAAGCATCAACTGCTCCGTCAAGATTGTTCAAGTGCTATCCATCCCAAGGCGGCATTCTCGTTCCATGCGTCGTCAAACCACCTGCCAACGCCTTCCTTCCGTCATTCACCCATGGCTCCTTCAATAGATCATTCACGACAGTGATGGATTTCGCTCCAACCTTTCTCGAGATGGCCGGCGTCAAAATGCCCCCAGCGACAACACAGAAAATTGCTGCGCCTCCGCGAAAAGAAGCCGCCACACGACAGATGACTACGTTCCGTGACCGAGGCGTCCACACAATGCGAGGCAAGTCTTGGCTTCCGTACTTTGCGCGGGGTCAGAAGGTCGAGGAGGATGAGATGTGGACGATTTATTCATCCAAGGAGCCAGTCGGCTGGGAATTATTCGCTCGAGGGGCGCTACGCAAGGGTGATTGGAAGATTGTCCACTTTCCCAAAGATCATGGTGGCGCGGGTGTTGGTGATGAAGGGTGGGAGCTGTTCAATGTGGTAGCAGATCCCGGCGAGACCAAGGATCTCGCCGAGTCCGAGCCGGAGAAGCTCAAGGAGCTGCTGGCGCACTGGGATGAATATGTGGTAGAATGTGGGATTGTATGGGGAGAGACTGCTGCGGCTCCGGGTCTGACAAAGGATGAGGCTCCGCAGTTATGGGAAGATGAGCTTGACTTGCAAACGGTGTGGATGGGTGCTCAAGGAGGCGAGTGTCCCACATCTTGTAGGTAGTGATGGAAGGACAGGCACAGGGCTGGACACCTCTGTTGAAATGATTGCTATTATCATCATTCTACGAAAAGATACATGTGTATATTAGCAACCTAGCAATCCTTGCTTGTGATAGACCTCGCATCCTAGATTCTTAAGTGCCAAACGGCCCATTCAACTCCTAGCTTGTACCTTTCGTTCGACAGAGAGCCGCAACTCGGCCGCAATCAATTTATAGGTCCCGTGTATGAATAAACTATTTGAATATTAGCTAAGGAAACTTCTTTTAGTCATACCCGAGGCAATAAAACTTTCAATATATTCCCATCATTAGCCCACAATACAATCACCGGCGCAACCCCGTGAGATTGCAAGCAGTGTCCACCAACTGAAAAAAACTTAATGCTGCACGTGGCAGCAACTACGAAAGAAATGTAGTGGAGATCCATATGACCAGAAACATGTTCCGAGCGAGAATGCACCTACATGCTTGCATTGACTCATGTACCTACGCTAGCAGGGCTCGTTCCAAACGAGCACCACCTAACACAAACAGCTTTGAGTGGGTGCTACTCCGGGTGGCTGATCACTTGACTCATGAGTTACGGCTGAGTTCGGTAAAACTTAGCAAAGCCCAAAGGCGACATTGAGGTTTTGAGCTAGTGACACCAAATTGGTTCCTCAAACTCCAACCGAGCCTCCTCCTCGCCAAACTGTCGGTCGGAACACAAGACCCCAGCACGCGACATTCTCATCAGCCACTGCCTGTGGTTCGCAAGGAATAATGGATTCATGGACTCCCAGCCCGACCCAGACAAACACCTCGGTCACGACGGCGCCTTCACCCACCGCCAGGTCAAGTAAATCGCCAGTGAGAAGACAAGCAATTCACCGAACTCGTACGGGATGTAGCACATGCCGACAGAGACGGGTATGTAACACCACGCTTCTCTTCCAATACCGAAGGATATGGCTTCTACAATACTACATGTAGGGAGACAGGTACATGTATCCAGGTGACTGACATCTTCTGGTGCGTGCCTCTAGGTGAAATGTGATGAGAAACGGCCATCCTGCACGCAGTGTCAAAGAGTAAAGCGGTCGTGCCAATGGCCGGGTCCCGGGAGCGAGGCGAGGAGGGCTCGTTCATCGAGGAGGCCAAACTCCACGGCCTGTGATGCCTGTAAAGATAAAAAGGTTTGTCTTTGCCCGTGGGATTTTCATCAAAGTAGATCAACTGACCAATCACTCTCCCTACTATTGTAGCTCAAATGCATTGGAGATATTCATGATACATGCGACAAGTGCAAAGCGTCTGGGAAAGAGTGTATACGGCCAACTCAGCACCAAAACCAGATAGGTGATGGTTTCACGGCCTCCAACCCATTGGCAGCCCCCTCTTCATCGCCTTCGACCCTCCAGCCAGGCTTTTCTCATGGTAGTGACTGCGAGATAGAACACCGTCCACTACCTCGCCATGATCTCGGGCCGTCCACTGATCCAATCGAACAATTTCCTCTTGGGCAACCACCTCAAGGCAGAGAGCTGGAGGATTTAGTCCGGCTCTATTTCACGTCTGTACACCGTGAGTCACCTAGCTTTCCCTGGTTGCTAGCAGAAATCGCCATTCCATTACAGTGGTGCTGATTCTTAGATAATATAGAGTTTGGCTTCTTTGCTTTCATTCATCAACTTCAGTTCAATCGGCTTCTCGCAAAAGGAAAGGCACCCCGCGAACTTACGCTCATGATGATTTGCAAGTGCCGTAAGGTAGGATTCACCTTTACACATCTCCTCCGTGGCCCTTCCTCTCCGCCTTTCCTCGTGTAATTGATTGGTGTTTCAGATCTGCTGCCGATCCGACTCCCGAGAACTTGGCCAAGGCAGACGCCTGGGTGGATAAGGCTATTGCCGCCGTTTTACCTCGCATCTACCAAGGATTCGGTGTCGTTCAACTGATGGTGAGTGGCAAAAAAAAACCCTCAATTATAGGTCCGAATACTCAACTCTAGCCTTTACTACAGACTCTATTACTGGCCCAGGCATACGAATTAAATCGCGGTAACTTCTCCTCAGCCTGGATTCTTGGTGGGAATTGCACCAGGCAAGTCACACCTCCTTCAATGAGACGCGGCTAAACTTGACGCCTTATTCCTGAATAATCTTCAGATTATCCATTCAATCCAGACTGACGGTGGATTTATAGGATGATGCAAATGATGTCCCTTCAAACTTTTGACCGAACCTATCCCAGCTATCTCACGTCTGATTCTAACTCGAAACATTTGCCCCTACTCTCCAGTGAGGCTCTACGGCGCGTCGCATGGTCGACCTTCTACTTCGACGCAATCATCGATGGTGGACGATATGGCTTTCACACCCTTGATGAAAAAGCATTCCGCTTACAGCTCCCATGTGATGAGGGTAGATTCCTCGGCAATGAAGCAATCATCACTGAACCCCTCTCCTACGATCAGGCCGATAAACCCGAAACCAGTATCCAGGGCCAACATCCGAAAGGCTCAGCTCTCGGCATATCAGCCTATCTTATCAGAACGGCTGCTGCTAGGCGTCGCGCCCTGTTCTTTGCCTTTCGAGCATCCCACAAGGAAAGCAGTGGGGAGAAGCTGGCTGTCGAGCTGGCTGCTTTGGAAGCAGACGTTGAGCATGTTATTTCTGCCCTGCCTAGGCGATTTCATCTTACAAACGACAACCTCTTCCTTCATCGCGAACGCCTAGGCACCTTTATTCTTCTCCATGTCCTACGCCACAACCTCTTCATCATCGTCGGTCGAGCCTCTCTTCAAGTTTTCCAACGTGACCTAAGCAAAGCCGACCTCATCACACAGGTGAGGCAGAAGCGCATTTCTCATGCGCTGCCCATTGCGAGCCTTCTCTCAGAGGCCTTGAAGGCCGGTATCGCACTAGATCCTCAACTGGGAGTTCAAGCATACATTGCTTTAGAAAGTTGGTTGCCAGTCTCTTAGATTCATCATTCAGAGAATCCATCACTAATAACAGCTCAAATATTAGTTCTGCTCTTTGAGCCTCGTCGGCTGGCAGAAATGGACCCCTTGGTGGACCCAAAATCTCCGCAGATTATGGAAGCCATCCCCCATTTACTTACTGTTGTTCGAAATCTTTCTTCCCGGGCAGAGTTCGTGAAGCATCTTGTACGTATATGAACAACTCCCAAAGAAACTTCACTAAATCTATCTTCTCAATATAGTACATTGAGGCCGTTCACCGTCTTCTACGATTTGAGTGCAACTACCTGCTTAGCCAGGAAGATCTTGCCGCTTTCAGAAGGCAAGCTTCCTCCATCCCCGTTCTCTCAAAACACTTCCCATTTTTCTCTCTTAAAGCTTGCACATCATTGCTAACTGAGCGGGCCATATTTTTAGTGAATATCAAATTCTGGGTCAAGAAACAGCTGAGCTTGACTTCCGCGAATTCCGCTGGGCAAAGATCGAACGCCTACGTCGTGGTGCCAAGTATTCGGCCAATACAAATCGGGACGAAGACCTTCTTGAATATGATGTCGGCGGGGATACAGCAGCCCCCTCGGCAGCACCTTCACCAAGGCTCGACGCCATCGATGTTAGCAGCTCCATGAGACGTTCCTCTGCGGCTCCTTTGCCACCCTTTACCAGCTTACCATCCACTTCCCATGACGTGCCCGAGCCTCATCCAATGGATCCAAGTGCCGTGGCACAAGTAGACCCTAAGTGGGCATTCCCCGCCAACATGAGTACGGAGAATGGGCAGGCTTTCCCCCTTGATTGGTCTTGGTTACTTGAGGAGCCTGGGCATCAATGGGATGAGACTGGCGACCCAACCTTTTTTTGGAATCAGCTACAGCAACTATAGTGTGTGTGGGCTTTCTCAATTTCAATTGTCTTTTATAGATGATTTACTAGACTGATATCTGCTGCCATTTAACCGAGTATGTTGAATGGCTTGGCTTGTCTGGAGTTGATATCAGCACTTGGTCCCTCCCAATCATCCCATATTTGACCTGAGCCGGTGAGCGTTTGAGATGGCTCTCGCGACCTAGAAATCGTATCCCATATCATAGCCATCTAGATGTTTACCCTAGATAATTTCGGCCTCGCCAAACTTTGCCGACACATCGCTAGGATAGCTTGCGCCATACTAATCCACCGACATGACCATGATCGGGTTTCCTTCTTCGCCTCAATCGCTCCGAGGGAAAATTCAATTGTACTCTAAATTAGAAATCAAAATGTATTAATGTACGCTATTGATGGACAAAATAATCACAAAGTCGAGAGCCTGCCGCGTAAACTTTTGTTGACAACATGTATCTAAGGGCGTAAACCCCGGAGAGCTTGGACGAAGCTCAAATGAAAGCCGGAAATCCTCTCTCAACTGAAGTCGATTCCAGTTGCAGCAAAAATGTACTTGCAATCAAGTAGAGTAGAACGCGGGTAATGATGGTAAAAGTGTCCCTGGATGTCATGCTGGGGACCGATCTGGGGCTGGCTGAAAGTCAACCCGACAATGGCGAGTCTATCGGTCTCGAATGGCCTGGGGTGAGCGGAGTAATGGTCAGCAAAACATGTTCCTCGATATTGTGGCTAGCTGGGGTCGTAATTAACAAGGGTGACCAATGTTTTGGATCGGGATTTGGTCTAGAACTCAATAGCTTCGGGTGACTGCTTCAGGTGAGGAGGCCACCAAGAATTGACTGAAGCCACTGACGGCGTCGCTCGAGGTGTGCGGCCATTGGTAAGATGATCACAGAGGCTGTAGTAGTAAATCGAAATGAACTCTCCAGCCTCTCCTTATAAACTTGGGTCATAATCCACGACTCTCACTGTAAGGAATTCCCACCCACAATCTCAGAGTATCCAAATCAAGATCATTCACTAGTATCCCGTATTGGCCTCCCTATCAGTGGCATCATTTTCTCATAATTTATTAAAGTGAATATCTGCAAGCTTGTCAAGGGGAATTGTCGACTATCACCGCATTGCTCTTAGGGTAATGCAAAACGTTCTGTCACGCCCACTTCTTGACCTTTAGAGCGGTATGTTAATATGGTGGTTACAATCTACTGCGCTTGCCTTTCACTAACAGTATTCTCCCAGAACAACAATGGAATCTACAACTCTTTACGAGCTAGACAAGCCCGTCCAGCAGATGAGGGGCACTTGGCAATGCTGGTGGCTGGCACTGCTCGAAGTAGCCCGAGTCAGCGGCAAGCTCGAGCCGATTTTCAAGGAGCAAGGCATGCTTGGCAAGTTCTACGACAAACGCCGAGCTGAGATTTCTGCTAAACGGACTGGTGGCAAGGAGGTCCCTGACGAGGGCGAGCTACCAGAAGGTCTTATCGAGAAACACAGTGACTTGAAATCGTTCTTGCAGATCAAAACCAAGACTGGCCCGGTGCTGAACTCTGAGAAAACGAAGTTCTTCGTCTATGGCCCGGAGTGGCAACGAATGGTCATGTTCTTTCTGCTTGAAACATCCGACAAAGCGCCTTGGAACATGCCTGCGGGTACAGTCAACACCTCTGATCGTGCCAAGGTACTCGCTCTTCTCCTCCAACGTCTGGGAGTGAAAGGCATCTCCTTCGGCAAGGAACACAATGTCACTGGGTTCGAGTTGAGCAATCGAGTTGACGACCTTGACCATCATCAGTACTGGATCTTGGACAAGGCCAATTCCGACAAATCGATCAGGACAGGGCACTGCATGGCCGGCATCGTGGAACGTGTGCCACCACCTGAGCCTGAACACGAGGAAGAGATGCCGAAACAGCTAGAACCATTGCAAACGACCAAGTCACAGCCAGCAAAGCCCACAAAGCTAGAACCCATTGACAAAAAGAAGTTAACGGTGACTCAAACCAAAACGCTAGTGGTGACGAAGAAGCAGCTACCCGAGCCGAAGAAGAGTAGGCAGTCGTCTTCCGACCTGAACGATTCCTTGAGGCTGAAGAGCGCGGAGGTCGATCAGCGCGACATGCGATGGAGCAGTACGTCGAGCTGGTCTTCGGATACGGGCGATTGCAGTGTGCAGGTAAGGCTGTAGCTATGATTGAGTTGTCGAAGATTTTTTTCGAGGTAAGGTTCTCCCAGTCTTAAAACTTTTCGTAAAGCAATTCTAACCTATGGTAAATGACAGCTATTTCGTTATTTTGATTTTGAGCTCATCAATCCGTTGAACCCAATACGTCAGACGAAGAGCTACGGACTCGGATCGAAGAAGGAATGATGGTTAAAGTCACTGATTCTCCTGTTGTCTGACAAGTTCAAACATGATCATAGACACTTCCTTATTGCAAGGACAACAAATAACGCTTCCACATATGACGAGCACTAGAAGAATCGTCTAAGGCTAGTTTTGTGAGATAGTTGAAATGAAGAAGAAATCTTTTAATTGAAGTGTCAGACATTTGACTGGCATTTTTCCTGATTCAATTAAATAAAAATGGTCATTGTCATCAGATATAAATAGCAACCCTGAACGACCTTTCAGAAACGGCGTCTACTCAGCGTAACGTGCTTATCAGGCTATGAAACTATGGCAACTAACATCCTTTATAGTGGTGTGCTTTGAACGAAGAGGACCCGTGAAGAACAAACGCTGCCCAATGATAAGGTTGTCGAGTGTCCATTTTCTGGCGAAGGGATAGAACCGCCTTCCGAGTGATGTGTGCTAAATCCACAACACCACTTCCGTTATCCTTCATTTCAGACGCGAGCGCAGTATAAAATGCCTCGCTAAAGTATCGACCAGTTTGAGAGGCTGTGGGCCAGAGTGTTCCCAAAACAGAGCCTGCTCCTGCGCAGAGGAAGGCAGTCACCATTCCGAGGGGCTCATCACCTGCCGTTATGCCTTGTGACGCAGAGTCACACGCCACGAGGGTGATATGAGGCACCTTCAACTTCATTTCAAAGACCTCACGCATTGCGAGCCTATCGTGGGCCAGCACAAGGCACTGGTCTGCTATCGAATTACGGTCGAGTATGCAGTGCCCGTGAAAGTGGAAAAGCGCCGATTGTTGGATAGCAGACGAAAGAAAGGACGTGGTCACCTCGTGGCCAATTCCACGCTCTGTGTTGAATAGCTCGGCCATCTGGGAGATGGAAGAATATACCTTGTCTTGTTCAACTTTGTCAAATGCATTGATACCAGGCTCGAAGACCCCCGTCATTGTCCAAGGCATACTCAATGGCGAGAATGAATCTGGTGCCAGAGCGGCCCGATGATGGCATTGCCAAAATGCCGTGAGGCTAGCACTATAAATGACCGGATGTCGCTCTATGACAGTAGTCTCGCTGCCAACCCACAAGGCATGCAAAGGAATAGAGTGCAGTACGCCTGTTGGACAAAAGATGAGAAGGTCCTCACTTTTGCTCAGTTGCTCTAGCGGTGAGACAAGGCCATCCAAGCTACGCAAACTAAACTCCGGTTCAGTCTCATCGTAAAAATCGTCTTCTTCAAAAGCCGAAGGCATCCCAGCCTCGGCGTCAAGCCAAGCTTGTTTCCAGGCTACCACCTCATTGACAGAGAGGGAACATTTCACAGTCGTCGGCAACTCCGAGTTGCTGTCGAGCACTAGCATCCAAAAGCTCCCGGAATGCTCCAGCCAGTCGACAAAGAGCACGTTTTGGTTTGGGGATCGCTTCTCCATCTGCTCACCCAGTTCACGCATTTGTTTTAACTCGACAGGCGTACCATTCCTTATATCCAAGGAAAGTTTCAGCAATGGGTCGTTCTTCATTTGTGAATGAACTCTATCAAGCTCCCCTCTGAGTCTAAGTCGTGTCATCGGGTCGCTTTCTGAAATCTGTTTCCAAATCTCTTCTGCTTTCTGTGTTAACTCTCGTCTAGTTGCGTCCTGGTTTATTTGCTCTTTGATCACCGGTGGTATTTGGGTCTCTAGACCTAACTGATCCGACAAGCTTCGAGCTTTGGCCTTCTGCGTCCATGCCCATAATTCAGTAACCCGATTTTCTACCAGGCAGATGCTGAAGGCATGTCGGTATATGTTTCTCAGCCCAGCGGAAGAAGAGGCAAAGTGTTGCCGGCGAGATACAGCCTCTAGGCTTGGGGAAACAGTCATATCTGCTCTTTCCATCGTTTGAGCAACTTCTGCGTTTTGTAGTGCCTTCAAGACATCATCACCTTTCACCCATCCGTATCCCCAGCCTCCGTATAGAAATCTTGATCTGCACTCGGTTGCAGAAGTGATGAATGTCAGGCTATCCAAGAGAGTGAAAAGTTCGAGTGCGATCTCAATCAGTTCTAGACAGCGGGATAAAAGATCAACGGTGGGTAAGAATTGGAATCTGCGGAACAATACCACAGACTGGATTTGTCTCGTGTTCGCCGCCTCCACAAGCCTTTTGTGCGTCATGTACAAAGCAACCGCTTCGTCCAAATATTTCAGAGCTTCATCCCACTGCTCTGGTTTCGAGTCTTGGCGTATTTTAGAAGCAAGAATGCTGGCACGCTTCTGATACAGCCCTGCCCTCCGCATATCTGCTTCCTCAGAGTCGGTTGTCGCTAAATTCTTGATAACACGTTCCATCATTTCCAGCCAATGTTCAAATTTTTCATCACTCAGTTCTTGTATATTGTCGGTGGTGAATTCCATCTTAATGGCAGCCTGTTCAAAGAACCCGTTCTCTGAATCATGCCTAATAGCACTCTCAACGAAAGAGAGGAAGTCTTCCGCACTCGTTGAACCAGGGCGCTCTCTCCTGAGCTTTGCTTGCACAAGGGTAGTGGTGGCTTTAGAAATATCAGCACTGAACTTGCCATTGAATGCTTCAATGGATTTAGATGCCCAATCCGCTGCCTTCTGAAAATCCATCAGCTGGCAGTAGGCTAAAGACGCAAGATATGCAGCCATGCCCTTTAGCCACCTACAACCGCCAGCTCCCACCACAGCATGTATGCCAACAGCGGCATCGACAGCACGGGCCGCCTTGCCCGAATGTGCAATCCACATGCTAATGAGGCGGATGCGACTAAAATGGGAAGCAAGAGTTGCTCCCGTGAATACCTCTAGCTCGTCGCTCACATGGTAGAGTTGGAGCCGAAGATCAGGAGCCAACGAGCCCGGGATATGCGGGATGATGGCTTCTACAGCTTCATGATAGGCCGAGACCGCATCCACCGCCTCGTACTTGAGGAAGAGCTCTTTCAACTCTGCCAGCAATTCTTCTGTGACTTTCTCAGGTCTCCCTTCAATCTCTCGACCGATTTGCTGGATCCTAACATCTGCTACACCTAACAAATGTGCTTCATCGGTATATATATTTATAGCATTTGATTCCATGTTCGCAATTGTTGCTTGATCAAGTGATTTATCGGCATATCTGGACAACAGAGCCATGGCATCTGCCCTTAACAACGGCAAATCTGCGGACGATATGAGTGTCCTAACCATCGTATGCCAAGTCTGAAAGTTGAGACATGCGATGCCTACATGCTTCGATTGTCTGAGGAAGACCCCGTATGCTTCCAGTATTCTGTACGCTTCTCGATGGCGGCTCATCCTGATGAGCTTTTCGAATACGGGCGCCAGCCATGAAATTAAACCTTCTAGCAGGTCGGGCTTGACTGGATCATGAAATTGGCATGATAGAAGCTGAATCTTGGCATAGTATACCGCTGCTTCAATCTTGCAAGGCCAATGCGGACAGTCAGAAAGCGCAACGAATGGTATGGGTCCAGAAAGGAAGACCTACAGCTGACGGATCAAGTTCCATGATCGCCGCAAAGTCATCCGCCTCCGTACGCAGATCCTTTGCGTCCTTCAGCGATTGGTCGAACTCAGCCGTTACGCTCATCTTGAGCAAACAGACCTCCATCTTCATCCGAATAATCGGCCACTTCGAACTAGGAACTGCGGCTACGCATGAAAGCTTTTCATCTTCTTCCAAAAGAAGTTCCAATGCTTTCGCGAAATAGCCCTGTGCTCGAAGGACCCTGGCGTACTCGGCTGCGACATGAAGTCGACTAATTCCAGTGAGTGAATCCAGAGTCTCTTGCAGTGAGATCCTAGCCTGTGCGTAATTTGCCTTGTCGGAGTACGAGCGGCTTTGCTTAAAATCGGCATCCGTAATTTGGGATGCCATGCTTCTGGTCGGAATTTTGGTGGTGATTGTAAGAAAATGCAAATCGATATTTCACGGCATTGAAGACTACTTTATAGGCTTCCCTCTGTCCTCGTCTTTCAGCTGAGATTGTGACCAATCAAATCATGACCGAGGAGGCTTAGCTGAGACGCGTGATGTGGCAATGCCCTATAAGCCGGTGCTCCCTCCCCTTATCATCTATAATTGATATGTGACAGACGAGCGGGGTAAGCATCCAATGGCCCTGACTTTCACTCGGCGTATTTTCTGCATTCTCCCCCTAAGTCACGGATTCTTGCTAAGCCATAGATGCTCCCCGAACCATGGATGAAACTTCAGCTTCAATACAGGAAGCCAAGGACGTGGCGGCGGCTCTAGAGGCTAGAGTATGTCAGTTCGAGATCGATGGCGGCTCCAACAAGCTCGGCCAGCATGATGTTGAGCCACCCACCAAAGCAGCCCATGTCGAGCTCTTCAACTACGGTGTCATCGCGTCAGTCTCTTCCTTGACATATGGGACTTGGGAGAAAAATGACGCAGCGCTATTAGTTATGGTGTTGAACTTCCGATCCCCAGACAGCGGGATTCTCCGGTTTACAAAAGCAGAGCTCTCAATAGACTTCAAAAGGCAGCGACCTGAGGATAGCTCCCCGGTTGTCCAACTCTTCCATCCTAAAAGCAATAGAAAATCAGCTGCAAGTGCGATGGGTCTTCAGACCACCGAATCACCCAGCCTCTGGCCGCCCGCAGCTTATTCAACCAAAGGGGATCGCTGGTCAGAAAAGTCACAGGAAGAACCGCATCGGGTATTTTGGGAGGTTTCAATTCCGCGTGGCAGCTCAGCCGACATCAACAACAATTCAATCCCCTTATGCGCTATAGTGAGTTTTCAGGGATCTTTCATGGCCACTGTTAGGTTGAAAGCTACTACTGCTCTAAAACTCAAGCTCGAAAGCTTCCCCTGGTCGAAAAGGGACCCTATGTTGTTTAATGGCCACACTTTCAAGGGCAAACAATTTTCTAATACCAAGTTTGCCGAACTTCGAAAGAACGAGATCGAAGAACATTTGCCCCGACAATATCCGAAGCCAGTAAGTTCAGCTCGAACCAAGGAAAAAGCCCCTCGCTGAGAGTTACTAGGACTTGACCTCAGGAGCCAATAGCGCAACGCCAGTACCAGAGACTGTTTATCGAATTCACGGGATTCCCATCTCTTACACAGTTGATAGCTTCTCCGAAATACTGTCTAAAGTTTTGAATATCCCCTCCACCTCGATTCAGATCAAAACGTTCTCGAGAAACCCGAACCACGAGGAGATAACAGCTTTGGGGTCATTCACATCCTTTCCAACGAAGCTCAAGAGTACACAGCCAGGTCGTTGGCAGATTTCTGTGCCATCGACAGAATTGCCGAGCAATAGGAATAATCATGCCAACCCTCCTTCGTCATTATCGAGCCCAGGTCTTGATCTCCATTTTGATACCAATTTTCTTGGGTTCACAAATCTCAGCCCGATTTCTCCTGGTCCTTCCAACATTGAGTAAGTCCTATTCATTCCAATTACTGATGATTTTCTGTCATTATTGATTAATTAATGAATTTTGCTTACAGCATCGTCACGGTACATGGTCTCGGTGGTCACGCCTACGGGTCTTTCAAGCACCGAGGTAGACATTACATGTGGTTAAATGACGCATTACACGTTGACCTATGCAACATTGCACCATCGAAAGAGTTCCCAGAGGGGATCAAACCAAGAATCCTTCTATATGGACACGACTCCCATATACAACAAAGTCAGACATTCCAGTCCTTGGAGGACCTGGCCACTGAGCTCAAAGTTTTGCTTCGTGGGGTACGCCGGCATGATCCAACCAGGCCACTAATTTTTATCGGACATAGCCTTGGTGGACTTCTAATCAAACAACTTTTAATACAGTGGTCAGTGGAAGAGGGCAACGCCATTGACGCGTCAAGCCGTGAGGCCACCATTGGGCTATTGCTGTTTGGGGTCCCCAATCGCGGGATGGACATTACCGCCATATTATCAATTGCTGGGGAACAGCCGAATGCTGAGTTTATATCCTCTTTGGGAATCGGCTCTCCCATCCTGGAAGAGCAGTCAAAAACATTCCCCGCACTTTGCAAGTCCACAAAGATGCGTACATATTCTTTTTTCGAGACATGTGTATCAAAAACAGCAACAAAGGTACTGTGACCACTCCCCTCGTCTTAGACCTTGCCAATTTATTGTAATGTTACTAATATCTTTGTCAACAAATAGATTAATGGAAAGCTGAGCATCACTGGGGATGAAGTAGTCTTGGTCGACAAGGCTTCTGCAACTCATGGGCGACCGTGGGAGATGAACAATCAATTCATCATTCCAATACAGCGCTCCCATTCAGACTTGGTCAAGTTTGAGAAATACAGCCCCGACTATGACAAGGTACAAGGTTGCTTTAATGAAATTCTCGGGTCAGAAAAGAGCTTGGGTGTTGGCGCGCTCCCTCTGCAGTGATTATCACAGATATTTGTGTTTAGTTTGGCTACGGAGAGCCTATGCGTCATACAACTATTATTCTTTAATAAGAAGAAACACTGGAAAACTTGATAGTAATTATCAAGGTTGATAAAAGTTAGAGTTATTTCAGCTGTAAGGGAAGGTCTACTTTATACTCAACTTTTATCTACCTTCTAAAAATAAAGAGATATTAAAGTAAATAAAGGTTATTAAAAATAGTGAAACTATATTTTCTACTACATCGAGAAGGAATACTGTTCTTTCTTAGATTTCTATAGCTAGTTCATCTATTCTAAGTCCCTATAATTATATTCAAGCTTAAATCTATATATTAGTGAGATCCTTCTTCGTAGATGTCGCTGTCACTATTTGATAGTTAGTATAAGTCTTGAGAGTCATCATCGATCGTCGTCGATAGCAAATGACTTACAATTTCTCGTCGAAGCGTTCCCTTCCTTCAGCGTCATGTTTGACCCATACGCTCACACTACATTGTCCGCAAGGGAATGTTGCGAAGCCATCATCACCGATGATGATTTCATCATCGCTCCAGCCTAGGACATCAGTCCACTTCTCACCTGCGTGCATCTCACCGACATGCATTCTCTTCTCACCAGGGCCGGCGTTGCTCATGACCACTGCACAACCAGCCGGACGATCGTGGGTACCGTATCGAACCCAGCCAAGACATGTAGCATAGTCAAAGTAATCGGCCTGCTTTCCGTAAGAGTAAAGCTTGCGCGCAAGCAACAATTTGGGCAGTGACCCGCCGCATGACGGTGGAAACGGGTGCTCGCCCTTGATGCCATACAGATCGCCGTACCATACGCAAGGGTAGCCTTCGTTTCGTAGTAAGATCAGCGAGTAAGCTAGAGGCTTAAACCAGTCGGCGATTTGCACCTCGAGGGCTTGGTAGGGCTGCGTATCGTGGTTCATCACAAGCGTAACTGCGTTGATGGGCATGCTCTGGACCAACGTGTCATCAAAAACCTTCCTCATGTCAGCACCGTCGCCCTGGCTAATCTCGCTAAAGTTGTAGACCAGAGGTGCGTCGAAGAGAGTAAACTTCCTCCCCATCCGCTCAAGGTAAGTCTTCATGTCGTCGAGACTGTCCTTCCAGAACTCCCCGACAAAGAACCAATTTCGACCAAAAGATTCATCCATATTCGTGATAAACTTGCGCAGAAAATCCTCACTGTAGTGCTTGATGGCGTCGAACCTCATGCCTTTGAGGGGGATTGTTTCAGCGATCCATTTGCCCCATGCCAGCACGTCTGCTTCGACTTCGGGGTGGGCGTAGTCGAGATCAGAGCCCATTAGAAAGTCGCTGAGACAATTAGCACGAGAAGAATTCACCAGCCTTTGTACCACGTACTAGTTTCCCTTCTCGTCGTCCACATCTGGTACGTCAGCCCAGCCAGTCGACTTGTCCCCTACAATCTTATAGATTGCAGTCTTCTCGTTGGCAGCATTGTAGTCAACACCGCCAAAGTGGTACCAGTGGTATTTTTGCTTGCTATACTTTTCACCTCTGCCAGGAAATGTGAAGCCAACCCAGGCCTCAATCTCATACTGATCACTAACGGTCTTGTTTCGGTCGTTTTCGTCGACCTCGACCGCCTGGCACTTCTCTTTGCGATCGGCGGCGAACCTGTGGTTCAAAACAGCATCCCAATAAATACCCACGTCGTTCTTTTTGGCTGTATCGCACAGTTTCACCAGTTCCTCCTTGCTGCCCCATTTGGTGGCCACCGAGCCCTTTTGGTCGAACTCGCCCAAGTCGTATCTATCTTGATTGTTAGAAGGCGGCACGGCTCATCGTCACATAGGATCACATGCAGATCATAGATATCATAGCCATTTCCTTCCTTTGACGAGGCCTTGCAGCTAAACCCTGTGTTAGTTCATTTGCCAGAAGAAGGGCACAGTTCACCTACCCGGGCGGAACCCAAATGTTGTCTACTCCCCAGCGCTTGAGTTGCGGAATGTGCTTCTCTAGACGGACCCAGTGCTTCTGATCTGCGGGAACATACCACTCAAATCCCTGCATCATCGTTTTGTTCTCCGGGGTAGGGTCTTGTTCTGCCATTTTGACAGTTGTTGGCTCAAAACCTAGGATTCTCACAATGGTGCTCTTTTTTTTTTTGCCAACTTCATGGCACTTCTCGCTTGATCGTGTTATAAATACCCAAGGCAGTGGGTGGAGCAGACTGTCCTAGACTGCAGTAGATCGTCGATTGAGCTTTGGCAGAGTCTAGACTCTTGGTCTTGAAGGATCCACCCGTGCCTAGAAAGTTGGCACAACCGGTTTCGATTGGCCATCCGTGAATTCTTATCTCAATAACGCGGCGACTAGGAAGTAATTCCCGCATATGGTGACGACAAAAAAGCCTGATGAGAGTTAGCAGTCAGTCTCAATTGGTCGTAGCCCCTGAGTGGGCACATAACCAGCTGGCTGGAGCTGCGAACTTCTCGCTCATACGTCATGGTTTATGCAGTCCGATCAAAAACAAAAATAGCAACCAATACCAGAAAGCGCTAATCACTCGTGCTTCCTTCTTGAACTACTCGGACGGAGACAATAGGAGAGTGAGGGGAAAACATAAGATATGGGTCTGCTGTGGCGTACCAGCTGGGAGAGATGCCTTGAATATTGTCAGCAGGATTTTTGAGGAGCTGAAACGGGCGACAAAGAAGGTTTGAGGCTCTAACCTGTTCCTTTCTGTTTAGCACCACGGGATGTTGTTACTCCTCACAAGGTCCGGAATGACGCGGCTGTGCAATGATCCGGTTGTGATGGATGCCAGAATGCACGTGATGTAGAGTAATTGCGTTTTCAACTTTATACTCGAACTCTCCTCCATGTAGAGTATATTGCACGAAGCCGTCCACTAAACAATTGATTGATTTAAAAGAGCGCTAAGTAGCAGAATGTGGAGGGACTGGCTAGAGTTGTTCATGATGAATAAAATATTTGGTTTCTCGAGATGCCTTTTGCTTGGCGATCTCACATTCCATCATATCGATGGCTACATGAGTTCCGAGCTCTTCCGTCCTACTTGCACGCGATGTCGTCGCGTTCCGAATCTTACGGCTCAGCTGGAGCATCCCATACATCAACGCCTCTACCACTGGTAGCCATCCCGGCACGTATATGTCGACCAGCACAACAGGGTCATATACACAATGTTGTAGCTATGATGGTAGTAGCCACCTCCATTTGCACAACTGCCCATGCTAACAACCCAGCGACGATGCGGCATCTAGTCGTCGGCCGGATGCAACGCGGGTGTCATCTTATTTGCAAGGTCCCTGCAAGAATCATGAGGTCGGCGAAGCTCGGAAGAAGGTTCCTAGGCGATCCTGGTCGTATCGTGGCACCGAGGGGTGCATCACCTCAACGGCACAGCAGGCGATGCCAGATGTCATGGGCCACACCGACCCCACTCGCGCCCAGTTTGCAATGGTATCCGACGTCGTCCTGTTGCATGCCTCACATGTGAGCTTGATGTTGTGTTTGGGGTCTTGAGGTGAGATTGTCCCATACAGGGCATATATAGCCACCGTCGCTTGGTAACAACACTTCCCTGCGATTGTGTTTCAGAGAACTGGGAGTCCGTTGTGTGCCTTCCCAATTACATGAGCTCTCATTTAATGATTATTCGTCTGGTTGAGCAAAGTGCGGTGGGTTGACTGGGACTAATTTAGTCCTAATCTACCAGGGAGCGTCATTGTCGAAAATCGAAATCGAGTCAAACAGAAAGAAGCAGAGAAAAGTGAAAAACGAAGATGGATGCTGTGCATGAGCGTTTTAATAGAGGGTTGACCTAGAGAGACCATTAAGCGACAAAACGCCCAGCTCGCATAGAGATGCCTGCGGTTATTATACTCGTACTCGCACATCGCTTGGAGCCCTGCTCGCGCACTTCACGTAGTCCTCTACATGCTACCCACTCAAGCACGAACTTTCTGGTTCTTTTATTGGTAATGAGCTATAATCTTCTGCACAGAACAGAATGGGCTGGGTCAAGTCAGTGGGATTGAGCGGCTCGTTTGACGGGAAGGGATACGGGAAACGAAATACGAAAAGCAAGTACTCGTATTCCGTTGCGGAACTACGTCGGAGATCTTAAGATATTTTTGATAGAGCCGCCATTCGCCGTCAAAGGGTGAAAATAGGCAATAAAATGGTTGGAATTAATCATTGACCAGAGAAGTTGACTATAAATCTCTTTGGAAATCATGGCTCATGAAATGCGCTCAGGGTAGCTGATCTGGTAGACATGCGACCGAAAACATGGTTGAAGGATGAAATGGTATCAATAAACAGCCTGGTCTCTCTGGAATGGCCACTGGCGAGCGATTGCGACCAACAAGGCAAACATAGGACGAGCGTAGGTAATATGAAGAATTAGTTGTAACAAGTTTAATGTTTATTTTAATTATTTTTCACATTTTTTGTTATTTGATTGTAACATACCTAAGTTATTGAGACTTAAATACTTAATAAAAAGTGAAAATATTTAATTACTAACGTTCCAACCACGTAGTTGGTAAAAAGTAGAGACAATCCTCTATATAGATCTCTAGAACCTAAGGCTGATTGCCCGCAAGACTTGGTGTAAGTTATTTCAGACTCCTTTAGCCCTGGGGCCCTCATCCGGTGATCCCGAATATGATACAGTAATGACATCTGTCCTAGTGATAGCGTTGCGCGTAGCTTCCGGTACCACGATAGGCTTCGCGGTGCCAGCCGCGACAACGTTGGGTTTGGTTCCGCTGAGGATTTCTTCCTGGCTTCCACCCTCTTCCAAGACAGTCAAGCCAAGGTCATCCCTGGCCTTTGACTTTGGTTTGCGCTGGCCTAGCTCGTAGCCTGACTTTTGATCGCTGTAATCTTCGTAGTATCGCCCGTTGTACTTGGCCGAGTCTTTCCCACTAGAAAAGGGGTTGCGGCGGAGGACCTTCTCGACGAGGGGTTGGAGGATAGGGATAGT